AAGTTTAATAAATTATCATTAAAATATTTTAATTTCGGGATAGGGGTATGGAGGAGGGGTGAGAAACAGGTAACATATAGATTATCCTAAAGACCTGAAGACCTGCTTTATTTAACGGCCTATCACTGCCCCTTGTGCAGAGTGAATATCCAATACATTCTTATTAAATTAATTAATATGTCAAATATAATAGCGATTATATATCATGATCAAGGCGCTGTTCTATACTTATCATTTATCACCTTTTTTTAGTCTCCACAAAACCTGTGGAGAAGATACTATTATCTGAATTTTATAAGTGAGAAAATGGAAATTCAGAGAGATTAAGCAACTACTCACAGTTACACAGCCAGTAAGTAGCAGGGCCGGGATTTTAACACAAAGAATCTGATTCCAGAGCCACCTCTGCTCTTAACACTGTACTGCCTCCCGCAATATTATTACATAAACCTAAAGTAAAACCTCATTTTTAGGGTTATTTATCCAGTTTAACTGTCTAAGTTAGAAAATAGTAAAGACTGGGAATAAGACAGAAACGACTAATAATCAAATAGACATTCTGAGAAGATTCAAACCCTAAATAAAGCTCCAACAGGCCCTCAGGCTTTCATTTGGTCCTATTTATTCTAATGTCATACTCAATTCTAACAAGATATGCCATCTAAATTCCCAATTCTCTATTCACAGCAAATAATAAAGTGGATAGGGTTTAGAAGGCAGCACATTGACAACAGGAGAAAATGAATGATGTTGGTCTGCAAGTGGAAAGAGAAAGGCTATCAAAAGGCAAAGAAACCCAAGGACTCAAAAATGAGTACACTGGCTAGAGGCCATTCAGGGTAGAGACAAACAGCATAACATACTTCAAAATATACGAAAGGCTCACCCAAGTTTACTTACTGGTTACCAAGAGTCACCAAATTTAAATTAAAACTTCAATTTAAAGTCAGGCCAGGCACTGTGGCTAATGCCTGTAATCCTAGCACTTTAGAAGGGGAAGAGAGAAGATTGCTTGAGGCCAGGAGTTTGAGATCAGCCTGGGCAACATAACCTTTCCCTACAAAAAATTAAAAAATTAGCTGGATGAGGTGGTGCGCACCTGTAGTCCTAGTTACTAGGGAGGCTGAGGCAGAAGGATCACTTGAGCCCAGGAGTTTGAGGTTGCAGTGAGCTATGAAATTCACCATAACACTGTCATAGCTAGCCCACTGCCCTCTAGCCCAAGCAACAGAATGAGATCTTGTCTCAAGAAAAAAAAAAAAGTATATTTCACATCTTATAAAGCCATAAAAATAACTAAAGTTGAGGAATTCCAGTTCCTGTAGAATAATTATACCCACCTAAATTCTAATCACACCACACATTCTTCAAAAAAAGTCAAATAACTCAACAAACACAGCAAATATTAATAAAACTACCCATATCCCACATCTAAAGTACAACCAGGAGACAGAGATTATCAAAAACTTTAATTTACATGTAAGAGGGGAAAGAAACATTAAATCCAGAAAATCAAGCCCCACAACCTACGCTGGAACAGAAAAAAAATCAGGTGGTAACTGAGAGGAAAAGAAAAGAGGGAGTGGGGTTATAGGGATGCTGAAGCAGATAATACCATTCCCAGAAAAAGTAAGTCACACCTTGAGTGAGAAATACTGAAAACACATCTCAGATCCAGCATTTCAGAGGCCCAGCTAATCCAATAGAAGAGGCTTAAAAATATCTGGAACCAGGTATAGCAGGCTCAGAAAAGGTATCACTTCTGAGAGAGAAGGAAAATACTTGGAAAAGAAAGAAATCCAATAGCACAGATCTTGGCTTCTAAACACCATTTCACACTAAAAGAAATTAGTGCTCTTTTCAAAAATGGCTGATTCCAGGTCTGGAGCAGGAAAAAATATAATGTGGACCTAGGACATCTTGTCATGCCAGAAAACAAGGAAGTGCTCAAAAACTGACGGGTACATGTCAGAAGGACAGAGACACCGGTATGAAAAAACTCTGACTACATTTGAAATAATTTGGGAATCAAAATAAATAATGACAATAGAATATAGCACACTGAGTAGTAAAATAATCCATGAGTTTATAGTGAACTCAAGAAGGGGCTGAGGCTGAGAAAAACAACACTTTTCTTTAATAAAAGAATGCTAACTAAACTAGAAAAAAATGATAGAAGCATAAAATCACTATTTTGTAACTACCAATGTAATAAATAATTCAGTAAGGATCAAGGGATGTTAACTTTCAGGAGAAGTCTTGTTGGGAAAAAAAATATTCATGAAGTCTCAGAATAAAACCGCACAACTTCCTTACAAACGGGATGGTATCTTAACTGGGAAATCTGGCAAATACCACCTAACCCAAGTGATCACACTTAACCACATCACCAAAAACAAGACAAACTGAGAGATGTGTGT